GGAGCAAGGGGCTAGTAACCCCTTCTCCTGTATATATTACTAAATGTGAAAGGAGAAACTTTCGTTTTTCCTTTTGGGCCACCCCGCCTCGGTGGGATATGGCCGGTGTGTTAAAAAAAAAAAAAAAAAAAAAAAAAAAATTTTACTGATTATACCAGGTAAAGTGTATGGTAGCGTTATTATCAAAAGAATTAGAGGTAAGACAGAGAGCGGGATGGCAGATGAACAAGGAGGCTTTAGAGTGGGTAGGGGATGTGTAGATCAAGTGTTTACATTGAAGCATATATATGAACAGTACAGTATTTAGATAAAGGTAGGGAAGTTTTCATATATTAAGTAATTTTATTCAGGTAGTGAGTAAATTTATTGCATTTATGGATTTAAAAAAGGTATTTTATAGTGGATAGAGGAGCAATGTGTAGATAAATGGTTCATAGAACTGACAAGTTGATAAATTAGCCACGATTCTCCTTTGTATGGACTGACGAAGCCATTGTGAGGTGAAACGTTTCCTCAGTAAAGATACCCAGGTGTTGCATATGTCCAATTTATCAACTTGTCAGTTCTCTGAACCATTCATCTACATTCCTGTCTGACACAGCAACATCTTGGGATCTTAATACAAAGAATTCTTCACTTGCCTAACCCTTGGGCATGACCTGCTTCCACATTGGTCAAATGTGACATCACTTACAACTGCTGCACCTCTCCTGTCTATGGTATATAAGCTACTACTTCGCACATATAAGAACATAAGGAGAATCACTGCAGCAGGCCCATTGGCCCATACTAGGCAGGTCCTTTACAATCCATCCCACTAACAAAATATTTGCCCAATCTAATTTTCAATGCTACCCAAGAAATAAGCTCTGATAACTCTATCCACTCATTTGCAAGTCCCACTCAAATCCAACCTCTCACTCGTGCATTTATCCAACCTAAATTTGAAACTACCCAAGGTAGTTCTTTTCAAGATTGATGGACTGACTACATTGACTTCAAGGCTGAGGGACTGATTATCTCAAACTACTCCTGTTCTTCACTGTTCTCCTTTGTATGGACTGATGAAGCCACTGTGTGGTGAAACGTTTCCTCATTAAAGATACCCAAGTGTTGCATGTGTGTCTAATTTATCAGGAGCAATGTGGCAGATGTTGCAAGTGAATTGATTGATGTTGGTTCGCTGGTACTTCCGGCCCGGGTCTTCTCCAGATGGTGACCCGGGGGGCCACCGCCGGGTATGTAATAGGTAGTAAGTTACTAAATGCTGTAAAGAGTTTTAATGAGGATTGTGAGGTTAGGGTGTGTAGGAGATAGGAAGATTACTTCCCAGTAAAAGTAGGTCTTAGACAGGGATGTGTAATGTCACCATGGTTGTTAATATACAGTGGAACCTCTACTTATGAGTTTAATTCGTTCTATGACCTTGCTTGCATCTGGATTTGCTCATTTGTAGAGTCAATTTTCCTCATTTAAATTAATTGAAATGGAATTAATCCATCCCAGTGGAATTCCAGGCACAACAAAATACTTGAATATTTCCCTAATATCAACTCTATGGCTTATTTATCTATCACAATTCATCTAATATGACATAATAAACAATATTAATAACATAGAAACATATGTACACTAGAAAGAATGAAATGTTTCAGTAGTGGTAGTGGAAGCGGCGGCACAGCGGTCATTACTTATTACATGTATTATAATTTATATTACGTATGTTATATAATTTATTATAATAATAATTATTATCATTATTATAATACTCTTGCTTATCATTTGGAATTTTTATTTACATAAAACTAGAAGATTTACTGTTATGCAGACTACTGCATTACTGTAATAATTGTATAAATAATGTCAACCCATTCATGACTGTGTATTTGGAATGGCCACTCACAGGTATTGTTTACTCTTGAACATTGGCAAAAATCGAATATTTCTGCTACTTTGAGCTCAATTTCAAGGTACTTTTTGTAATGAAATCAGTCAAAATCATATCTATTTCTGTACTATATCTTCCATTCTATCAAATGAGACCAAAAAAAACGAGAATACAACCATAAAAATCATACGAAAATATACTGAGAAGTGAACTCCGTTATTTGTGGTCTGATTTCTTTCAGTTTTGGTGTACGTTGAGAAGCATCTTTCCATCATACATTGCCCAAAAATTCAATAAAATAAACGTTATCCACGGAGGCAAAGAAGGGAATGTACGAGAGAGTGGTGGTACCAACATTTATATGGATGTGAAGCATGGGTTGTAAATGCTGCAACAAGGAGGATGCAGGAGGCAGTGGAGATTTAGTGTCTAAGGGCACTGTGTGGTGTAAATATTACACAGAGAATTTGTAGTGTGGAAATTAGGAGGAGTGGAGTTACTGAAAGTATTAGTCAGAGGGCTGAGGAGGGGTTGTTGAGGTGGTTTGGTCATTTAGAGAGAATGGAACAAAATAAAATAACTTGGAGAACATATAAATCTCTAGGGGAAGGAAGGTTGGGTAGGGGTCGTCTTCGAAAGGTTGGAGGGAGGCTGTGGGTGAGGGGCTTGGATTTGCAGCAAACGTGCATGAGCGTGTTTGATAGTGAATGGAGATGAATGGTTTTTGAGACCTGACAAGCTGTTGGAGTGTGAGCAAGGTAATATTTTGTGAAGGGATTCAGGGAAACCAGTTAGCCGGACTTAACTCCTGGAAGTGGGAAGTACAATGTCTGCACTTTAAAGGAGGGGTTTGTGATATTGGCAGTTTGGAGGGAAATCTAAACTGTTGTATCTGAGCACCTCTGCAAAGACAGTGATTATGTATGAGTGATGGTGAAAGTGTTGAATGATGAATGTTTTTTCTTTCTTTATGGGTCAGCCTGCCTCAGTGGGAAATGGCCGTGTTAAAAAAAAAAATCTTCCATTCTGTCAAATGAGACCGAGAAACCAGGAATGTAGCCATAAAAAACATACAAAAATACACCGCAAAGTCACTGTTTTAAACCACGTGTACTGTTGCAGTTTTTTTCCTTATGCAGTGGACCCCCGGTTAACGATTTTAATCCGTGCAAGAGGGGTAATTGTTATGCGAAATAATCGGTATGCGAATGAATTTTCCCCATAAGAAATAATGGAAATCAAATTAATCCGTGCAAGACACCCAAAAGTATGAAAAAAAAATTTTTACCACATGAAATATACATTTTCCCACACACAAAGAGAAGGATACATGCACAATAGTAGAGTAGTACATGCACAGTATATATTGTGCATGTACTAGTCTACTAAATGAAGAATAAATGACACTTACCTTTTTTGAAGAGCCAGCAATATGAATGAGACACTGTGTCCTGGGAGTCCCTTTTTCCCTCCTGAGTAATGTAGGTCCTGTTGGCTTTTTCCCTTCCCAGAACAGCCTTATCACATGTGTACGCCACTACGTTTCTTAAATCTCTCAACCAACCTTTGCTGGCTTTAATTTCACCAATATGAGCACTAGTTCCAGGCATTTTTTCCCTTTTCACCTGGGTGTTAGTCGACTTGTGTGGGTTGCATCCTGGGAGACAAGATTAAGGACCCCAATGGAAATAAGTTAGACAGTCTTCGATGACACTGACTTTTTTGGGTTATCCTGGTGGCAAATCCTCTGGGGTTAATTGTTTCTTGGTATTCTCAATAAGCCACACCAACAACGGTGCTACGCAGAAACAAGCAGCGGGCTGACGGTGGTACAGCAGCAACAGACGATGCTACAGCAGCAGCAGACGATGCTACAGCAGCAACAGACGATGCTACAGCAGCAGCAGACGATGCTACAGCAGCAGCAGCAGCTGACGGTGGTACAGAAAGCAACAGACGATGCTACAGCAGCAGCAGACGATGCTACAGCAGCAGCAGACGATGCTACAGCAGCAGCAGACGATGCTACAGCAGCAGCAGCAGCTGACGGTGGTACAGCAGCAACAGACGATGCTACAGCAGAAAACAGACGATGTTACAGCAGCAGCAGCAGCTGACGGTGGTACAGCAGCAACAGACGATGCTACAGCAGGAGCAGACGATGTTACAGCACAACGGGACGATGTACAGCAGCAGCGGGACGATGCTACAGCAGCAGCAGCAGCTGACGGTGGTACAGCAGAAAACAGACGATGCTACAGCAGCAACAGACTGCTACAGCAGCAACAGACGATGTTACAGCAGCAGCAGACGATGCTACAGCAGCAGCAGCAGCTGACAGTGCAGCAGCAGCAGCAGCTGTACCACCAATAGTAGCGATGGTTAATTGGGGTTTATTATACAACCTGGCCAGCTGGGAGACACGCACTCCACTTTCATACTTATCAATGATCTTTTTCTTCATCTCTATTGTAATTCTCACCCTTATTGCTGTAGGGTTGGCACTAGAAGCTTTCTTGGGGCCCATGGTCATTATTTTCAAAAAAGCACCGAAAACACTGTAATAATACGAAATATTCCGATTGTATGCTTGGATGTTACCGCGGAGGCTGGCTGGTAAACAATGCCACCGGCGGAACATGTGAGCGTGGCTCAGGCCGCACATTGGACGCGTCTCGGACGAAAATCGGTGAGCGGGTTTTTAAGCGGTATGTGAGGCAAAATTTTTGCGATTAAAACAAGCGGTATGCGGATTAATCGCTATGTGATGCCATCGTTATGCGGGGGTCCACTGTACACTGCTTGCTGCAGAATTTTTTTTTTTGGTGCGCACTTACCGCATGAATCCATTCTCTCATATCTAGGCCCAAATGTACCACTCACAGCTTAGCTGAGCTCATGGCATGGTACTACTGCACCAACAGTGACCTCAAACCCATTGTATTATGGCATGGGTAATGAAAGGTTTAAGAATATATGTGCCATAGTTGTTCTGTTTTCCCAGGCCTAGAATTTTACATTTGTCTACCTTAAACTGTATCTGCTACTTCTCCAACCACTGCTTCAACTTATTTAGACCTTTCTGTAGTGCTCTAGTATTACGAATATGTCATAATAAAAAATTTGTATGAAAGTTTTTGCTTGTTCTGATGTCACTTGTAGAGATGAGCTGGATGACTTAGATGCTCAAGTGGCATTGCTGGAGGAGCCTGAGGAGGGAGCCATCATAGGAAAGACCTTCATTTGCATTCTGGTAAGAGTACTTAATTTTACAGTTTTTTCTTTAATCCTATAGTTTCTACTATAAAAAAGTAGAAGCCTTCATAATAATATGCTCAGGGTTGTGTATATTACACAGAATACTTGCCAGCTACTGGTATAGGTTTGTGAGGTGGTGGGGAAGACCTGGGTAATGTGACTTTTGATGTTGCTTTAGCAAGGGAGGGCTGGCAGTGTAGGAGACTAGGGGCCAGTAATTTTTTCCCTCAGTACTCTCGCCTCCACTTTTCACGTGAGGGGATTGCTTGTGTATTAGTTGACTTCTCTTCCACCCAGCAGTGTAAGTTTTAAGAATACTAACTTGGATGTTGAAGGGACTTGAGCATAATGATAAATTCCCACTCCAGACAGTATACTCCACCAACATTCAAAACTCTAAACTTACTGTACAAAACATCTACACTTATTATTGTGCCTACTTCATACATAGAACACTAAACTCGGATGTAAACCCTCCCCTCAAACTTTTCCTTACCAACCTCAACAAAATACATGACCATAACACAAGGCACAGATCACTCTTTGATGTTTCCCGTGTCCATCTCACACTATGTAAAAACTCAATGCACATAAAAGGCCCAAAAATCTGGAATTCATTACCTGTGAATATAAAAGAAATACTGTCTATCAATTCAAGACTTCTTAAAAACCACTTACTCAACCACAACTAAATAAATACTGAATAACTGAATCTCATTAATGTCTAACCTGTTACCCTATCAAACTTTTTTTTTTTATTACATTACCTAATATAATACTCCATTCTCTTGAATGTACAGTAACTCATCTAATGACCATATGACCTGTTTCTGCACTACAAATCATTGATTTTACTTGATCTGATTTGATTATATTATATATTGTGTGCTACAAATTTGTACAACTTTAATGCTTCTTATTTGAAATACTCATTTGTACTTCATGTTGTAATTTGTTTACTTTAATTTTTACCACTGAATATATCATTGCTTAGTTAATTTTAAGTTAATTTTAAGCTTGCCCATAATGCTCTGCATACAAGGGGCTTTTGGCATGTACACCCAATCATTATATTTCTTTGTACAACTATGTATCATGTCCAAATAAAAAATAAATAAATAAATGAAAGGATGAATAATGAATGAAGTTTAAATAGAGGGGTGACAAATATGCAAATATCAGACTGTATCCTCCTTATCCTGTACAGGCTGACCAGTTTGCCCGACTGAAGACTGGGAACAGGCTGTTTTGGGAGCATGAGAGCAGCATCTTCACGATGGAACAAAGGAACTATGTTAAACAAGTCACTTTAGCAAATCTCCTTTGTTCAAACCTTCCCCTCCATGCTGTCCCCACCAATGCCTTCCTCCCTCCATCTGACAGGTAAAATACACATTACATTGAAGTGCTATTCTTCATCGAGTTGGTAGCAGAATGGATTAGGTTATGCAAATTGGTAAGGAAGTAAAATTATATTTTTATACTAAGAGATTACCTAGGTAGTAGGTTGGTAAACAGCAATCACCCAAGGAGGTACTACCATCCTGCCAAGTAAGTGTGAAACAGAAACCTGTACAGTGGAACCTCGGTTGTCATCTACATTGATGAACAAATTGGTTTTAAAACGAGGAATTTGAGAAAAAATGTGCTGGTTTTGTATGTTCCCTTGGTTGTCGACCGACAATGTGAATGGCTCATGGCTCATGTCAGGTGCTCACAGAATGAGTTAGTATAGCCACTAACTCGCAAGAAGAAAAGTTGTAAAAAGCATTGTTGAATTTAAAAAGAAGTCATTAGAAAGTATGAAGATCGGCTCTGCGTGGTTGATATAGCAAAACTTTTTGGTAAATCCAAGTCTACTCCATGATACTGGGCCAAAGAGAAAAAATTAAAGCAGCTGATCATGCAGAAGGTGTACAAGTGATATCAAAGCAAAGGCCACAAATTATTGAGGACATTGAAAAACTTTTTGATTTGGATAAATGAAAAACAGCTGCACGGTGATAGTGTTTCAGAGGCAGTTATTTGTGAAAAAGCAAGCCAGTCGCATAATGACCTGGAAAAAAAAACCCACGGAAAGTGCTGAAACTCAGTCCTTCGAGGCTAGTAGGGGTTGGTTTGATAATTTTATGAAAAGTGGCATTCTTAGTGTGGCTAGGCATGAGGAGGCTGCCGGTACTGACAGTGACTGTTGAAAAGAACATAACCAGATGTTGCACAAGCGTTCTTATCTTTATTGTAGACGTTTTGCCGTCCAGTGGCTTTATCTATACAGATTCTTGGACATAATTAGAAAACAGAAGAACTATATACAAAAGATGAGGTAATCAATCCCTCAGCCTTGGAGATGATGTTTACAGCACAGTGGTTGTAGAGATTCTGAAGCACAGGTAAGGAGACTGGTGCTTATATAGGCGTCGGTGAATAGGGACGCGTAGCAGACAAGGGCATAGTCACTGTAAACATCATCTCCAAGGCTGAGGGACTGATTACGTCATCTTTTGTATATAGTTCTTCTGTTTTCTAATTATGTCCAAGAATCTGCATTGATAAAGCCACTGGATGGTGAAACATCTACAATAAAGATATCCAGATGTTGCACAAGTGTCTTAACTTTCATCTTGTTAGTATTGTATACCTGTCTTGCACAACATAAGAACATAAGAAAGAACGAACACTGTGCAACAGGCCTACTGACCCATGTGGAGCAGGTCCATGTCCCCCCCCCAGATTAGCCCAATGAGCCCCCCCCTCCCCGGATTAGACGAATGACCCACCCAGTCTGGTCACCTCCACTCAAGGAAGGAGCACAGCACCAGACCCAGCAGCACAAGCTAGTCAGGTCCAACTCGCACCCACCCACATCCACTCGTGTATTTATCTAACCTATTTTTAAAACTACACAACGTTTTAGCCTCGATAACTGTACTCGGGAGTTTGTTCCACTCATCCACAACTCTATTACCAAACCAGTGCTTTCCTATATCCTTCCTGAATCTGAATTTTTCCAACTTGAAACCATTGCTGCGAGTCCTGTCTTGGCTGGAAATTTTCAGCACGCTATTTACATCCCCTTTATTTATTCCTGTTTTCCATTTATACATCTCGATCATATCCCCCCTAATTCTACGCCTTTCAAGAGAGTGCAGATTCAGGGCCCTCAGTCTATCCTTGTAGGGAAGATTTCTGATACATGGGATCATCTTTGTCATCTTTCTTTGTACGCTTTCCAGAGCATTTATATCCATTCTGTAATACGGTGACCAGAATTGAGCAGCATAGTCTAAATGAGGCCTAACCAAGGATATATAGAGTTGAAGAACAACCTGAGGACTTCCATTATTTATACTTCTAGATATGAAGCCAAGAATTCTGTTAGCTTTAGTGCGAACACTAATGCAGTGTTGTCTTGGTTTTAGATTACTGCTAACCAGAACTCCTAAATCCTTTTTGCAGGTATTGAGAATTTCACACTTATCCTTATCACTGTCAGTGATCTGACCAGAGTTGCTCTGTACTCCAAATTAACACACTATGGTATCAGAGGCCACTCCCTCAACTACCTAAAATCATACCTTAGTAACAGAACTCAATATGTGTATGCAAATGATGCAAAGAATTGCAGATAATTCGTAGTTTGGAAGTTAGGAGGAGGTGCGGGATTACCAAAACTGTTGTCCAGAGGGCTGAGGAAGGGTTGTTGAGGTGGTTCGGACATGTGGAGAGAATGGAGCGAAACAGAATAACTTCAAGAGTGTATCAGCCTGTAGTGGAAGGAAGGCGGGGTAGGGGTCGGCCTAGGAAAGGTTGGAGGGAGGGGGTAAAGGAGGTTTTGTGTGCGAGGGGCTTGGACTTCCAGCAGGCATGCGTGAGCGTGTTTGATAGGAGCGAATGGAGACAAATGGTTTTTAATACTTGGCGTGCTGTTGGAGTGTGGGCAAAGTAACATTTATGAAGGGGTTCAGGGAAACCGGCAGGCCGGACTTGAGTCCTGGAGATGGGAAGTACAGTGCCTGCACTCTGAAGGAGGGGTGTTAATGTTGCAGTTTAAAAACTGTAGTGTAAAGCACCCTTCTGGCAAGACAGTGATGGAGTGAATGATGGTGAAAGTTTTTTCTTTTTCGGGCCACCCTGCCTTGGTGGGAATCGGCCAGTGTGATAATAAATAAAATAAAAAATGATACAAACTCTTCCACCCAACCAATCACATTAGGAGTCCCACAAGGAAGCGTCCTTGGACCACTCCTCTTTCTCATCTACAGATTGTTTCCTCTAGTTGGTTCTGTCACAACCTGTTCTAAAAAGCAATCCTGAACCGTATCAAGAAAGTCACTAGACTCGAGATTTCCTGTCATATTGTTCCAATCAATTTGTCTAAAGTTAAAATCTCCCATTATCACAACAGTTTCATATCTAGATGCCTTATGAATTTCGTCCCATAACAGCTTGCTGCACTCCCTATCAAGGTTTGGGAGCCTATAAATCACACTCAAAATTACTTTGTCATGTCCCTCGAGAAACTGTAGCCAAACAGATTCTGTGTTCGATGTTTCTAATCTTACATCATGTCTAAGATAACAATTTAAATTTTCTCTGACATACATCGCCACTCCACCACCGTTCCTGTTGACGCTATCAGTGTGGAATAGTTTATAACCCTGTATGTTGCATTCAGAAGGCATTTCTCTGTCTTTCAGGTTGAACCAGGTCTCTGTTATACCAATAATATCTATATTACCTACACTTGCAAGTAATCTTAGCTCATCTAGTTTATTTCTTAGACTCCTACTATTTGTATAGTAAACCTTAAGGGAGCTAGTCACTCGTTGCCCTCTACTATCTCTGTTTGTTGATCAATTGACTTGCCATTACTAGCAACTTTATTTTGAATATTGTCTTCTAAACATGTCCCTGAGGTATCCCGGTAATAACTGCTGTTTTAAACCCTAATTCTGCAGCCTGATTGTTTCCCCCCAACACTCGTATCTCTATAATCTATCGGTTTAAATTCCTAGACAAGTCATCAATTACCCTCTCAATCGAATTGGCTAACGCATCCACTCCATCCCCAGAGATGAACCCCATCCCTTGCATACATATCACGTTTGCCAAAGAATAGGTCCCAGTTATCAATGAATGGGATTGCAAGTTCCTTGCAGTACCTGTCTAGCCAGCAATTTATACCAATTGCCCGAGACATCCATTCATTGCCCACTCCCTTTCTAGGCAAGATGCTACATATGACTGGGATCCCTCCCTTAGACCTAACTACTTCTATGGCTGACCTGTCCTTATCCAGCAGCTCCTGTCTCCTGCCTTTCCCCAATGTCATTACCTCCAGCACTAAAACAGATAATGGGCTTGTTCCTATTACCTGCCATAATATTATCCAACCTGCTGACTATGTCACCAACACCAGCTCCAGGTAGGCACACACTGTCTGACCTTTCTGTCTGTTACAAAATGCATGGTCCATATATCTTACCTGAAAATCTCCTATTAAAATATTCTTACCTTGATTAGCAGGGGAATCAGTGGTACCTTCAACCTCACTAACCACTGAAGTACACTTGTCTTGGAGAACAGAGAATCGATTTCCTACCTTCACATCTTCTCTATTAACTCTCATTATCCTTCTTCCTGAACTGTGAACCACTTGCCACTTAAAGCAGCTGCAACTATCACTGCTGGTGACCATTTCCTCCTTACCAGCTAAATCCTTCTCACACTCGCTCCCAAACTCATCTGTGTGAAGCTTCAGCCTCCTATTTTCCTCCTGAAGAAGTAGAATCTCCAACACTTGAACCCGAGATTCTAAAACACTACTACAAGCCATGGTGCTTAGTAACAGCCCACGCTAACTCCCAAGAGCTTAGGCAGGTATGACTACACGTGACCACTGACCTCAGCATACAGTATGTTAGTGAATTCCAAGAGTACATAGAGGCTGAGGGGTTTGTCCCCCAACAAGTGTTCAATTGTGACAAGACAGGCCTCTTTGGAAGAAAATACGCAAGAGGACCTACATAACTGAAGAGGAAAAGTCAGTGCCAGGACACAAGCCAATGAAAGAGAAGCTCATTCTGTTACTGTGTGGTAATGCAAGTGGGGAGTTAAAATTGAAGCCCTTATTTACCTGGAGTTTGCCTGGAGAGAGTTCCGGGGGTCAACGCCCCCGCGGCCCTGTCTGTGACCAGGCCTCCTGGTGGATCAGAGCCTGATCAACCAGGCTGTTGCTGCTGGCTGCACGCAAACCAACGTACGAGCCACAGCCCGGCTGATCAGGAACTGACTTTAGGTGCTTGTCCAGTGCCAGCTTGAAGACTGCCAGGGGTCTGTTGGTAATCCCCCTTATGTGTGCTGGGAGGCAGTTGAACAGTCTCGGGCCCCTGACACTTATTGTATTGTCTCTTAACGTGCTAGTGACACCCCTGCTTTTCATTGGGGGGATGGTGCATCGTCTGCCAAGTCTTTTGCTTTCGTAGTGAGTGATTTTCGTGTGCAAGTTCGGTACTAGTCCCTCTAGGATTTTCCAGGTGTATATAATCATGTATCTCTCCCTCCTGCGTTCCAGGGAATACAGGTTTAGGAACCTCAAGCGCTCCAGTAATTGAGGTGTTTTATCTCCGTTATCGCGCCGTGAAAGTTCTCTGTACATTTTCTAGGTCGGCAATTTCACCTGCCTTGAAAGGTGCTGTTAGTGTGCAGCAATATTCCAGCCTAGATAGAACAAGTGACCTGAAGAGTGTCATCATGGGCTTGGCCTCCCTAGTTTTGAAGGTTCTCATTATCCATCCTGTCATTTTTCTAGCAGATGCGATTGATACAATGTTATGGTCCTTGAAGGCGAGATCCTCCGACATGATCACTCCCAGGTCTTTGACGTTGGTGTTTCGCTCTATTTTGTGGCCAGAATTTGTTTTGTACTCTGATGAAGATTTAATTTCCTCATGTTTACCATATCTGAGTAATTGAAATTTCTCATCGTTGAACTTCATATTGTTTTCTGCAGCCCACTGAAAGATTTGGTTGATGTCCGCCTGGAGCCTTGCAGTGTCTGCAATGGAAGACACTGTCATGCAGATTCGGGTGTCATCTGCAAAGGAAGACACGGTGCTGTGGCTGACATCCTTGTTTATGTCGGATATGAGGATGAGGAACAAGATGGGAGCGAGTACTGTGCCTTGTGGAACAGAGCTTTTCACCGTAGCTGCCTCGGACTTTACTCTGTTGACGACTACTCTCTGTGTTCTGTTAGTGAGGAAATTATAGATCCATCGACCGACTTTTCCTGTTATTCCTTTAGCACGCATTTTGTGCGCTATTACGCCATGGTCACACTTGTCGAAGGCTTTTGCAAAGTCTGTATATATTACATCTGCATTCTTTTTGTCTTCTAGTGCATTTAGGACCTTGTCATAGTGATCCAATAGTTGAGACAGACAGGAGCGACCTGTTCTAAACCCATGTTGCCCTGGGTTGTGTAACTGATGGGTTTCTAGATGGGTGGTGATCTTGCTTCTTAGGACCCTTTCAAAGATTTTTATGATATGTGATGTTAGTGCTATTGGTCTGTAGTTCTTTGCTGTTGCTTTACTGCCCCTTTGTGGAGTGGGACTATGTCTGTTGTTTTTAGTAACTGTGGGACAACCCCCGTGTCCATGCTCCCTCTCCATAGGATGGAAAAGGCTCGTGATAGGGGCTTCTTGCAGTTCTTGATGAACACAGAGTTCCATGAGTCTGGCCCTGGGGCAGAGTGCATGGGCATGTCATTTATCGCCTGTTCGAAGTCATTTGGCGTCAGGATAACATCGGATAGGCTTGTGTTAATCAAATTTTGTGGCTCTCTCATAAAAAATTCATTTTGATCTTCGACTCTGTCTGGTTAGCGGCTTGCTAAAAACTGAGTCATATTGGGACTTGAGTAGCTCACTCATTTCCTTGCTGTCATCTGTGTAGGACCCATCTTGTTTAAGTAGGGGCCCAATACTGGACGTTGTTCTCGATTTTGATTTGGCATAGGAGAAGAAATACTTTGGGTTTCTTTCAATTTCATTTATGGCTTTTAGTTCTTCCCGCGATTTGTTTATCATTCCAGAAATCTGAGTTTTTAAGAAGAACAATGTTATCAAAAACAAATTGGCTGTAATGTGGAGAGCCAACACTTTTAGTGGATTCATGAGGTCTTTCTCCCACTGTCAAAAAGTACCTCATTAAAAACAATTGCCACTCAGGGCCCTTTTATTTATGGATAATGCTCCTGCACACCCTCCAAGCTTAGAAAATTAGTTGCTGGATGAGTTCAATTGTATAACTGTTAAGTTCTTGCCTCCTAACACAACTACTCTCACCCAGCCCATGGAACAGCCAGTCATTTCTAACTTGAAGAAACTACACCAAATCACTTTTTGAAAGGTGCTTGGAAATCTCTTCAGGAACAAATTTAATCCTCAGGGAGTTCTGGAAGGACCATTTCAATATCTCACCTGTTTGAGGCTTATAGATAAAGCCTGGAGAATGTCTTTCAGAACCATGCAGTCAATATGGAAGAAATTGTGTTGTTACTTTGTGGCAGCCAGGGATTTTGAAGGCTTTGAAGAGCTGGTAGAAGACCTTGTGCCTAGAGGTGACTGAAGATGATGTGGAGGTGGTAGAGAAGCATAAAACTGAACTCGCCACAGAAGAACTTGTAGACCTTCAGAAGGAGCAGCAACAGATTGCAGCAGAGGAGCTGTCATCAGAGGAAGAGGAGGGAAGGGATGATGTGCCCATTGCACTTGTCAAGGAAATGTGTGCTAAATGGCATGAAGTGCAGGAGTTTACTGAAAAATACTATCCAGACAAAGCAGTAGCCATTTGTCTCTCTAACATGTATAATGCCAGTGTCATGTCTTGATTTAGACAAGTGGTAAAACGGAGCCTGAAACAAACTCGCTGGACAGGTTTTTAGTGAGACAAAGAACCAGTGAGCCAAAACAAGGTGTTAGTGGTGAAAAGAGACAGAGAAACAACACCAGAAGGACAGTTGTCAGACACAATAATAGAAGGTGACCCCCCTACCAAACAATAACATACCCTCCCTTCTCCTCTATCTCCTGCTTCCAGTATGCCATTAGCTCGCCTCTGACAGGCAAGAGGCAATTAAATTTTTGTATACCGGACAGTAATTTCAGTTAGTTTCTTTTAGTATTCAGTTTTACAGTTTTATGTAGTAGTTAGTACACTTTTAATAAATTATTATATTTTCATTTGAGGGTCTGGAATGGATTAATTCTATTTACATTATTTGTTATGGGAAAAATTGCTTTTGTTGTCGTCCACTTAGGCTGTCAAATTGACATCTTGAACAAATTAAATTCAACAGCCGAGGTTCCACTTTAATTGTTTTACATGATGGTAGGATTGCTGGTGTCTTTTTTTCTGTCTCATAAACTTGCAAGACTTCAGGTATGTTATGCTACTTCTACTTACACTTAGGTCACACTACACATGCATGTGCAAGCATACATATACACACACCCCCTCTGGGTTTTCTATTTTCTTGCTAGTTCTTGTTCTTGTTTATTTTCTTATCTCCATGAGGAAGTGGAACATTATGGTGTAGTTTGCCATGGAATCTGGATCATCTGCTCCCTTTCCGGATTTCCAGGAGGTGGGGTGGGGTGTCCTGCAGGTGACAGGTGTATCTCCATAGGCTACCTGTCAGTTCTGGGAGGTGGCGGTCGAGGGAGCTATGCTTTGTGGCGGGCATCTGACTGCCCTCTCTTGTCTGCTGAGGTGGCTTGCATAAGCCACGCATGTTGTAAGAGTGTATTAAAATGCCAGGAGCAAGGGGCTAGTAACACCTTCTCTTTACATTATTAAATTTAAAAATGAGAAACTTTCGTTTTTCTTGTAGGTCACCCTGCCTTGGTGGGATATGGTTGGTTTGTTGAAAAAAAAAATAACATGCATTCTTGTTACATTAACAGTATTCAACAAATGAATGTCGGTAAGTTAATTTAGGCACAGGTACAGTTGTCATACATAGTGTAAATTACCTAGGATAATCCCCCCCAAAAAGTCGGTAACTTATTTCCATTGGGGTCCTGCTCTAGACTCCTCATGGTGCTTCTAAGAAATTGGATAAGGGAAAATAGAAATGATGTGGGTGTGATAGAAGCTAGCCTGGTAAAATGTTGGAATAAGAATTAAAGTATTTTTAATAAGTGATCAAAATATTAACTTAGTCATAGTAATGGCTATTTTTGGTTGTGACAACTCTTCTGACAGTGCTATAATATTGTAATTTTTTGTAGGAAATTATAGAAAAGTTTATGGATTACTCTTTAAAGGTAGAGAATTATTTTGTTGGTTATTTAAAGGGAATATAGTTTTAGATAGATGGTAGTGTAAGCATAGTTCATTTACCATTGCTTTTTATATTCTCTATTACTATAGTACTGCATAAATTTAACTTACTGAACTTGAACCTTTTTATCTGACAGTAATCCTCTGGTGAAGTGTTCTGACCTGCCAGTGGCTGACCTAATGCCATGGAAGGACACATCACTCATAGAGAAGATGAAGAAAGTGGAGAGTGGGTCACGCCAGCAAGACAAGGTGCACAAAGAAGAGATAAAAACTGGCAAGGAAGCTCCCAAAGAAGAGCTCTAGAAGTGACCACTGTGTGCACTCTCCTGTTTGTACTCGCCTACTTGGGTGTTGCAGGGGTTGAGTCACAGCTCCTGGCCTCACCTCTTCACTGATTGCTACTAGGTCCACCCTCCCTGCTCTAAATGCACCCATTCCTAAATGCACCTGACAGTACTTAATCACCAAGGCTACAGTGTAAATAAGATTAACAATTTTTATATGAAACAAAATACTTTGTGATTTAAGAAGTGAAGAGTATTGAATGATTTGCCTTGGTTAGTTGGGAAAGTCTTGCTAACTTCCCTAAGTTAGTGAACTAAACATTATCCAGAGAAAAGGCTGCATTGTGAGTGGTATTCATCCTGTATATGCTTTTGATTGACACTAATTTTGGTGAAGCCTATGTTGAAGATTAAAGACTTGTGAATAGGCTGTTGTAAAACAGTCAAAAACTAATATATACGACTGCCAGTCAGGCTGTGCTTAACATTGTTATTGATGATCCAGAATTGAGTTAGTAAAGCATTCAGTTTATATTAAATATACAAATGTTGGTGTATTTGAGTCTCCTCATACTCTGAGATGACAGAGCTTTTCTCTTATTTCCTCTTTAAGGGGGGGGGGGCTCCTTGTTGCTGTAAAGAGGCTATCTTCTGAGGAATTTGACCTTTTGGTCTTCTTCCTCAGACTGAACCTAATTACCCCCTAATTCCCCCTTTTTCCCTTTCCTCCCTCCTCTCATTCCTCCTTTTTCTCCATCCCATTTGTAGTCTCTGGAGTCCTCTCCTCTGGCATTATGGGAAGTGTGCTGGGGTTCATCCCACTGTGGGGTCCCTTAGGAGTGGTGTAGTTTGCCATGGAATCTGGATCATCTGCTCCCTTTCTGGATTTCCAGGAGGTGGGGTGGGGTGTCCTGCAGGTGACAGGTGTATCTCCAGAGGCTGCCTGTCAGTTCTGGGAGGTGGCAGTCGAGGGAGTTATGCTTTGTGGCGGGTATCTGACTGCCCTCTCTTGTCTGCTGAGGTGGCTTGGTGGATATGAGGGTGCTATCCCAGAACACTGGTTTATGGGCTGAAGGGTGGGTATGGCATGGGTTCCACGCTACATATGTGCTGCTAGCGGTGTTGAGGTCCTCTTGGATGAGTGGGGGGGGGGGGAACTTGTGGCCCTTTCATGCTTTCTAGAAACTATCCCTTTGCTTTCCCTCAATTTTGTTTTCCTTTTTCTGGAAATAAGTGCCACCATCGTGGAGTCTTTGTTCCGTGACCACCTCCTCCTTCCAGGCCCCTTTTTGTTACTGCATCCTGTTCTGACCCGGCTTCATTGTTAGATCATTGTTGAGACTTTTCCCATACCCCTGTACCTCCTGCTGGTGACACTCCTTCGCTTCCTTCTCATTCTGCCCAGAAAAGACCAGCACGACACTTGCTTCCCTTACACTCTGTTTCAAAATAAACAATGGACTAAGTTTTTTTTACCCTGTGACCGACTTCTCCTGCCTATCTTTCTGATCACAGTATTAGCAAGGTGCTCCTAGTGCTCCTACCTATGCCATGTTGGTCAAGATATATCCTTTCATGTTCTCAAGAGTGGTGCATGCATCGTGGTGGTGCAGAATGCTAGTGTAGCTCGCGATCTTTTTCTCCTTGCAACCATAGATGCTATTCCTGTAACAATTGAAAAACGTCAATCTCTCAATTCTTGTAGTTGTACTGTCATTCTACCTTGGAACATTGTCCAACAGACTTTCCAGGCATGTGGTGATGACATTCTGGAACAGCTTGAGCTCCAAGACCTCCCAGTCCTCAAAGTAGACACTTCACAGGTGCTTTATATTGCAACTTAGACATAACTTTTATACACAGCTGTTAACCTAACTTATTTCAGAATTTATTTCCATCAAAAATATATACTATCTTTGTCTAGGTCCCTCTTCAAGGGGGGCTCCTTGGCGTGGTGAAGAGGCTCTTGGTCTGAGGAATTAGACCTGTCGGTCTCCTTCCTCAGACCGAACCTAATTACCCCCAATCCCCCCTTCCCTATCCCTTCCTCCCCATCCTCTCCAGCCTCCCCTTTTTCCTTTCCTCCTCCTCCTCCCCACCCCTCCCTTTTGCCCTTCCTCTTTTTGGCCTTTGGGATTTTTCCCACAGGTGCGCTAGTTCCTAGGTAGGGGAAAGGGTACCGGGGTCCATCCCATTCCATTGAGGTTCTTGGTGGTGGCGTAGTTTGCCATGGAATCTGGATCACCTGGGGATGTCCCGATCCCTCTCCAGTATCCCAGAGGGTGGCTTTGGGTATCTTTCGGGTGATGGGTGTATCTCTGGAAGCCACCTTTTGGATTCCGGGGGTGGTGGCCGAAGGAGGTATGCTTTGTGGCGGATATCTGGCTGCCCTCTCTGTCTACCGAGGTAGCTCGGCAGATGTGAGGTTGCTATCCCGGATTGCTGGTTTACTGGCATGAAGGGTAGGGTATGGCACGGTTTCCATGCTGCATCTGCGCTACTTGTGGTGCTGAGGTCCTCTTGGGCACGGAGGGAGATTTCTGGCCCTTTCATTCCTCCTAGGAACTATCCCTCCCCGGTCCCCCCTTTTTTCATTTTTTTTTTCTTTTTCTTTTCTTTCTTTTTTTTTCTTAAAAACAAAAAGGAAAAAGTAACCTAACCATGGAGTACCCAATCCATGACCCCGCTACCCCCGGGCCCCTTATTGTTACCGCACCCCGTTCTGACCTCGCCTCATCTTTTGGCCACTCTTCGGACACTCCTAAGGCCCCTGTACCTCATGCTGGTGCTGTTTCGTCACCCGCTTCAGGTGCCGGGGTTTTGACTGACTCCTTCGATTTGTCTGACCTCCGCTCTCCTTTGACTATGCTTCCGGCCTCTCCCTCTATGGTGCAGTGATTTTCGAATTGCCAGCCTGTCTCGCATCGGACCAACTCTGGTCCCACTTCTAAATGCCAACGACAGTCTCCTGATGATGATACTTCGTTACCTTCCCATTCTACTCGGAAAAGACCAACACGTCATGCACTCCCTCTCCACACTCAGTTTTGGACCACAAAATGGACTAAATTCTTTACTTTAAGACTGACTTCTTCTACTGCCTATCTTTCCGACCATAGTATTGGCAAAGCGCTCCTGCTCCATGTTGGTAGAGACATATCCTTTCATGCTCTAAAGAGTGGTACGTGCATTATCACAGTCTAGAATGCTACCCAATTTCATGATCTTTCTTTTCTTTCACATATCAATGCTATTCCTATCACTATCGAAAAACATCATTCCCTCAATTCTTGTAGTGGTACTGTTATTCTGCTGGCATACCATAGTCCAACATAATTTCCTGACATGTGGCAATGACATTCTCGTACAGCTGGAACTCCAAGATCTCCCAATTCTCAATTCTTATTTTCTTCCTGCCCGCAGGCGAGACGATACCCTTGCAATGTGGCTCGTTTAACTTTTGACAGCTGTGAACTCCCATCCTCTGTTTATGTAGCAGGACGTCGGTTACAAGTTCGAAAGGTGATCTCTACACCGCAGCAGTGTAGAAATTGCTGGCAATTTGGCCACCTAGCAAAATATTGCAGATCTATAGCCGAATGCCCAGTCTGTGGTGCCGATGACCATTCTAACACGTCTTGCAGTCGACCTCCCTCTTGCCTTAATTGTCATGAGGCTCACCCTTCGTATTCTCGCCGTTGCCAGGTCTACTTAAATGAGCGGGAAATTCGTTGCCTCAAAGAGGCAGAAGGTCTCCCTTATACTATGACAGTTTCTCATCTCCGCCTCCAAGGGAGACTACCCAGTGTTTCTTATTCTCGTGTTTCAAAACGTTCCCATACTTCTGGGATCCCATCTTCTGCAGCCTCCTCTGCGGTTGCCAGTCCCACAGTCACTCCTGTGTCTAATTCTTTTGCAGTTCTGGGCTCGGACGTCCCTACTTCAACACCTCAGTCTGTTATCACTTCTTCGTGTTCTCCCTCACAAACCCAGGTATCGACAAGACCTCGTACGACACCTCCTCCCAATCGTCCCTCTACTTCTCAGAAGTCCAAAAAATCTCCTTTAACCCCTCCTTCCCCTCATCCACTTCCACATTTTACCTTCCCGGTCTCTGTACCTGGGTCTTCCCCTTTCACTGGCTCTGTTACAAGTGTGGAGGTTCATCCTCCTCCTCGTACTGTGCCTTTCTCCCCTGTCCCCTCCCAAGTTTCTTCCTCTTCTGTCCCCTCCCACACTTCTCCAGTTCCCTCCACCCTTTCACCCCCCCCCCTACCTTGGTACAATCCATTACAGTTCCGATCTTTACTCAAACTCCTCCTCCTTCCATCTCCAATATTGTCTCCCATACAACGTCTCTGAACTCCAAAACACTTGAAGCAATCTCTGAATATATTGCAGAGACCAAACCATCAATGGACACTGATCTACCCTCTGTTCCTTCTCCATCTGCGCAACTCTTCTTCACAGCACACCGTTCCTTCGCTGCTTGAACGTTTTCTGCTGCCACCGCATGTGGACTTTTCTAACCCCTCTAGTCCGTAAGTGCCTTTACCTGCGGATTTCTATTATCTTTATCGTTGCCAATCATGGCCTATTTACAGTGGAATATACGTGGCCTCGGGTAATCGGGGTGAGCTTCAGACGTTGCTCTCCCAATTTTCCCCTGTTGGTGTTTGCTTACAAGAACCAAAATTACACTCTGCTGTTATCTATCCCATCTCGGGCTATAATTTATTGTATTCTTCGGATCCTTTTCCTGATGGGACCTTTAACAAAAGTGCCCTTCTACGCACTGATATTCCGTACCATCAGCTATTTGTTCGTACTTAGCTGCATTATACAGCAGCGCGTATCCACCTGCATAGGTGGTATACACTCTGTTCTTTGCATCTCTCTCCTTCTCGAGCATTATCTATTCCAGATATTGCCTTTCTTGTTTCGTCATTACCGCCACCACTTCTGTTACTTGGCGATTTTAATGCCCATCATTTCCTCGGGGGGGGGGGGGGGTCTTGTTGTGATTTCCGTGGCATTCAGCTAGAGGCTTTTCTTGCTTCCCACCCCGTCCATGTTTTAAATACAGGTACTCACACCCATTTTGATCCTCGTACTCATACTCTCTCTTGCATCGATCTCTGTCTGCTCTTTCTCCGCCGCACTAGACTTCACCTGGTCTGTTCTCCCGGATTTACATGACAGTAATCATTTTCCAATCATTCTTGCTTCTCCTTCATATTCACCACCTCTTTGTAACCCATGCTGGCAATTTGATTGGGCAAATTGGGACCTTTACTCACAACTAACTGGTTTTTAGTGAGGTTCCTTCTTCGTCCTCCATTGATGAGCTCTTACACCTCTTCTCGTCCTCAGTTTTAACCGCAGCTTCTCATTCTATACTCCATACCTCGGGCAAGCATTCTCAGAAATGCATGCCTTGGTGGTCTCCTGCTTGTGCTCATGCAGTACGTTTGAAATGTGCTGCGTGGGGCAGGTACTGGTATAATAGAACCAATGAGAGACTTCTTGATTTTAAGCAGAAGCGTGCGATTTCTCGCCTTGTCATCCGTGACGCTAAACGCACTTGCTGGCAAGATTGTCTCCACCATCACCTCTGCTTCCTCTGAGTGCAGTCTGGAAAGAATTACGAAAACTGAGTGGTAAATATTCTCCTGACCCGGCTCCTGTTCTGCGGGTTGCCGGTGTTGATATAGCAAACCCACTAGATGTTGCCAATGAAATTGGCAATCATCTGGTCCATATTTCTCGGGCTCCATCTCTGCCCCTCATTTCTTTCCTTGAAGTCTGCCAGAGAGTTAGCACCCTTGGACTTTTCTTCTCTCGGAGAAGAACAGTATAATGTGCCTTTTACACTTCAAGAACTAGAGGCAACACTCTCAGCTTGCGGATCATCGGCCCGACGACATTCATATTCGTGTGCTACAACATTTACATCAGTCAGCTCTTGCAGTCCCATTACGCCTTTTCAATCTTATTTGGTCACAAGGAGTTCTTCCACAGCTGTGGAAATCTTCCATTGTTTTCCTTTTCCACAAACCAGGCACTACGGGACGTGAAGCCTCCCACTATCGTCCCATTGCTCCTACCAGTGCAGTTTGCAAAGTGATGGAACACCTGGTAAGTAGATGTTTGGTGTGGTATTTAGAGACACACAACAGTCTCTCCACTTGTCAATATGGGTTTCGTAAGGGACGTTCTACCATAGACCCCTTACTACGCTTGGATACGTATGTTCGTAATGCCTTTGCGAATAACCACTCAGTTATTCCCATATTTTTTGACCTTGGGAAGGCATATGACACAACTTGGAGGTATAATATTTTGGCCCAAGCCCACTCCTTAGGCCTCCGAGGCAATCTACCATCCTTCCTTAAGAACTTTTTAACTGATAGACATTTCCGTGTTCGGGTTAATAATGTGCTCTCCCCGGACTTTATCCAAGCTGAAGGTGTCCCCCAAGGATGTGTTCTGAGCACGACACTTTTTCTCCTTGCTATTAATGATTTGGCCTCTATAGTCTTCCATCAAATATTTGGTCATCACTCTATGTTGATGACTTCGCTATTGCCTGTGCAGGCGCTGACTGTCACCTCATTACAGTTTCTCTCCAGCATGCGGTCGACCGTGTTTCCAATTGGGCCACCACACATGGGTTTAAATTTTCCAGCACTAAAACCCACCAAATTACTTTCACTAGACGCTCTGTCATCTCCGATCATCCTTTGTACCTCTATGGCTTCCGTATCCCTGAACGTGATACAGCCAGAGCAGCTAGCTTTCTGTTCCAGCGACTCAGCGATGCTGTTCAGAGGTGTAATACCTGCTGAATTTTGGGCACACGCCCCAGCTCTGAGGAGCTGGATGAGATTTTTGCATTATAATCAGTGACAAACACGAAACAATATGTATCAAGTTTCTGGGCCTCCTCTTTAACCATAGGTTATCCTGGAAACCTCACATTACCTCTCTGAAGGCAACTTGTCACAGCCGGCTGAACCTTCTTAAAACCCTTGCTCATCTTTCATGGGGAGCTGATCGTTGGACCCTCCTTCGCCTACATTCCACCCTCATTTTATCGAAACTTGATTATGGTGACCAGATCTATTCAGCGGCATCTCCTGCTACTCTCTCTAGCCTTAACCCCATTCATCACCAAGGATTACGTTTATGCCTTGGTGCTTTTTGCTCTTTCCCTGTTGAGAGCCTCTATGCAGAAGCGAACGTTCCATCCTTATCCGATCGCTGTGATGCCCATTGCCTTCGCTACTATGTACGCTCTCATGATCTCCGCAATCCTTCCATTTATAGAATGGTCACTGATATTAGTAGACATTATTTGTTCGCCGCCCCTGTTTACTCCGTCCCTTCTCTCTTCGCCTTCATTCGCTCTTGTCTTCTCTTCAATTACCACCTTTCTGTGTTAATGTAGCATCTCACTTTTCCCTACCCCCCTGGGAAGTTCCAGTCTGTTCTTTCTCTCTCCCTTGCTCGAAAGCCCAACTGTCTACGGTCGCTTCCCGCTCTCTTTTTTTTCTTGACCACTTCCACTCTTTCTCATGCCATAGCTGTGTACACAGATGGCTCTAAGTCTTCTTACGGCGTAGGATTCGCAGCAGTGTTTCCGGACAGCATCGTACGAGGGCACTTATTATCTTCGGCTAGTATTTTTACTGCTGAATTGTATGCCATCCTTGCAGCACTTATCCGTATTGCATCTATGCCAGTGTCATCATTTGTGGTTGTCTCAGACTCCCTTAGTGCTTTACAGGCTATACAGAAATTTGATACACCTCACCCCTTAGTCCTCCGTATCCAACTTTGGCTATGCCGCATCTTTACCAAGCATAAAGATATTGTTTTTTGTTGGGTCCCTGGTCGTGTTGACGTACAGGGCAATGAACAGGCAGACACTGCTGCGCGGTCAGCAGTACATGACCTACCAGTTTCATCTAGAGGTATTCCATTTACGGATTATTTTGCTGCAATATCTTCCCACTTTCACACCCGTTGGCACCAACGTTGGTCTACTATGCTCGGTAACAAACTTCAGTCTATTAAACAGAGTATAGGTTACTGGCCATCGTCTTATTACCAGTGTCGAGGTTGGGAGACTACTCTCCTGTCTTCGCATTGGCCATACTCGTCTTACTCATGGATATCTCATGGAGAGGCGCCCTGCTCCTCTCTGTGAGAATTGCCAGGCTCCATTATCAGTCAGCCACATTCTGTTGGACTGCCCACTTTATCAATGAGCACGCAGAATTTACCTCCGTCGTCGTCTTCACTCCGCTGCTCTCTCTTTACCTTCCCTTCTCGCTGATGGACCCACCTTTCATCTGGACTCTCTCATTGACTTTTTGACAAAAACTGACTTCACAAATTCTGATACCTTCAGCCCTTTCT